GCATTTTTTCGGGTTTGATCTGGGTGTAGGAGGTTGCGGGTATAGGGGGTGTGGCCGTGGGCGTGGGCGTGGTCGGAATGTGTTGTCGTTCTTGAGCACGAGGCGCGTGCTTGTTAGTTTTCGGGGATGGAAGTGTGTGTATTGTGGCTTGAAGTCGTAGTCAGCAGGGTCCCACAACGAGGGTGATGAATGCGTCGGGGAGGATGAATCAGTTTACAGAAGAAGTAGTGAGCACTGTGTATGCAACTGAGGAGGAATGTGAGCGTGGCAAGTGGGAGCAGCGTGTGGGTCCGGGAGTGGGGTGGGGGTGATAGTCTGGACGATGATGCCAAAACGGGATGTGATATCAAGCTTGTTGGTTTGGCACGTGACATTGAGATGGTGGATGTATGGAGTGTTGATGGTGGGAGTAAGGCCGGGTGCATTTGCAGATGAGTGGAAATAAGCATTTTCCAAGCACATGTGACTGCATGGGCTAACGAATTTAAGGTAATGGTGGTTGCAGGAATGCACGATAAGCGGTCTGTGAAAGGCAGAATTGGATATGCCTTGGAATCGCACCGAAAACTGCTTGTGTTGGATTCTTTCTTGAGATTAATGTATTAATTAATAACTTTTGGCTTGCGAGTTTGAGTGACGATCTGCTGTTGGTAGTACACATTGTTCCAGTAATCGATTTTGTTATGCACATGTTGTACATAAACCAACATGAATTTTTTTTATTTTTGAATGAAGATGTGACATTATTATTTGTTGGATTACAAAATCGTTATTTAAATCCTCCTTGAATCTAGATTGGTGATGCTGGTTTAAGATGGAATGGCTTTTGTTTTTTTTGTTTCTTTATTTGTTTTTTTTTCCCTTATTGGTTATTTCCTTGTGCTAGTAACTACAGTGCATTGTGTTACGAAAACTTGTGCTTTCTTTTTGTGGCAATAGGCAATAACTTATTTCAAGTTCTGACCACATGATATCCAGCCTTGGAATTCAATTGTTCAATGTATATTCATTTAAACGTATTTTTTTGTACTATCTATAAATGTCAAGCAGAATGTACAAGGTGGTATCACTTTAACTATTAGTAGCACATCAAAAAATTTCGACTTTTTATTGAGATGTGCTAATGTTCCAAACCATTTGAATTTAAAGAGGGAAGTTTTGTGATATATGTCACTCTTTAAATATATAATAGAGATTTAATTCACTATTTGTCATAGTGGATTTAGATATTTTGGGTGTGATTAGGATAATTTAAGTATGAATATGCTATAGGATATGAAGTAATAAAATTTAAATGACAAGTTGTATGTCCTTGGTTTTACTTAGTGTTATCTTTATGTTGAAACTCAAGATGTAAAGAGTTAAATAGATGATTAGTTATTTTGTTGTAAATTAATATTTATATTTATCTTAGATTTAAAAATATATATATATTACAAGAAAATATCATATACATCTTTTGAAAATGCTAGAATATTAAGAATATCCTTGAATTCTTGATAATAGTAAATATATCCCTCATATCAATGATAATAATAAATGGGCCTTTGTTGGTGATAAATTATCACCAACATCCTTTCATTAGTTATCATCTAGAGTATAAATTATTAGTTGTACAGATTTTATCACACATTTTTTTTACTTTTTGAAAATTGCAAAATTTTACCAAAACCAGATAAGTAGATAATTACTCAACATTATTGTTTAAAATTTTTTCAACAAGAAAAATATAAAATACAAAAAATAAATGCATAAATATATGATAGCAAAGGTAAAAAATATATTTATTATGGGATAACTATTATACAAAACTGAAATGTTTTGTATATTTATAATATGTAAAAATACATCTTTAATGCCAAAAACAATCAAAGGCTTATTTGCGTGGAATCTCTTTAATATTCTTATTTATAGAAAATAAAATAAAATAAAATAAAATAATCTTTGCTATGACAATGTAAGTTCAATATATTGCCAAAATGTTAATAATGATAGTGATGGTGGTGGTAATGGTAGAAGATGTGCTCAATATAATTATTTTTTTACATAGTGGAACTTAATATCTTCAATACCTTGAAATCAAAAAAAAGAAGTTTGCCAACGTTTTATGACTTTTTATTTTTAGGAATATTAGAAGTATAAATCTATACATGTATTGGTCTTCCAATCTTATAGCTACCATAATTATTGCAAACCATCTTCCTTGACCCACTATACGTATTACAATCCATGTTGTTATCAGACCACCTTGTGTACATACATGACACTTTGTGAGATCCATTAAAGGTTAGATACTATCTTCTACTAATCATCAGTTTCTTTTCTTTAGCTTTCAAGATGGACTTCTTAAGTATCATGGATATACATATTTATTACAATAACTACCAATATGATTAAATAGAAGTAGATAAAAGTAGATTAATTTCATAATATCTTATAGAAAAGCTTCTTAGATGCTTCATTGACATAGTTTTGACTTTATGCATATTTATTATTGATTGGTAGATTAGAAATATCGTCAAGAAATTTATCATGTATTATACATGTTAATAGCATGTAGAATATGTTAATTATGTGGCATACATGTAAAAAACTTTACTTTATAAGTTAAAACATATGTTTAGTAAAGTCAACATGTATTATGGATCGTATAGAACATCGCCAATTAGCTTCTAATTAGATAGTATATATAGAGGCAAGCCTTCTTCATTCTTGTCAAATTATCAAGGACATTAATATAATATTATCTTTGAGTGATAAGGGTGTAAATGTGCTTGACAATTTGACAAGGGTGATAACTTATTATTCTTTTTTTATTTTTAAAATGAGTGGATTATCTCACTTCTATTATTTTGTTTTAAAGGTTGTTGACTATCTATTATTAAATAAATAATTTAGTTTTTTAATGCCAATTTTTTTCTTAAAGAGAGTACATTACTCCTTTTGTGGAAATTTTTATTTGATATTAGAGGTTATAGATTACACTCTTCTAATTTGATTTTTTAAATTTATTTGAGTTTTTTATAAAAGAAAAGATTATGGATGCTACTCTCAATGGAAGTGACAATAGATTTGCAACTACTGCAGATCTTCACAAGCTTGTCAATACTCTAAAAGAAAAAATCTTACGTATTTCTAATGTAAATCATAGAAATATTATTCTTACATATATGGAAGAAGTCGAAAGTCTATATCAAGAAGTTGTATATTTGAAGAAATTAAGTAGATCAAGATCACAACCAAGTTCAAGAAGTCTTATTTCTAAAAGCATAAAAAAACAAGAATCAGCATGCTTAAAAATTTTGATAAAATGAGATCAAAATTTTAAGGATTTTTATAAAAAATTAAGTTTTAATTAAGATTGTATCTTTTTCAATACCCTAATGAATTTATTCAAGTTGAATTCATAAGTACATTTCTATCAAGAAGTGTTCTCTCTTGATTTGCATCTTTGATGCAAAAAGATTCACAACTATTCTATGATTTGAATTCATTCTTGAAAGTATTTAGAGCTATATTTAGAAAAAATTATTGAAAAAAGATAGAAAAGATTAAGCTTGTATCGCTATGACAAAGTTCACATTTAGCCACTACATATATTGCTAAATTCCAAAATCGTGCTTGCAACATGGATTAGAATAACAAAGCCTTTATCAATTAGTTTTGATTTGGGTTAAAAGATAACATCAAATATTTATTGTTGACAATACCAAGAATAGTTTTATTGAAGTAATTTATCACTCAAGCCATTGCATGTGATAATTGACTCTTTAAAAGATGTTAAAAATATAAATTTTTCTTTTAGAAGTAACAAAAAGTAATCATAATAATTAAATAATATTTAATGTGATAAGATCTACCTCCAATTTGGTTATTTTAGGATTATTATACTTAAAAAAGTATAATCCTTGGATAGATTAAATTTCTTATAGTCTTAATTTTTTTTTTAATTTGATTCAAAATTTTATTAGTCAAGTAGAAATACATGAGTCTAATATATCAAAATCTTTACTACTAGGTACAAATGCTTTCACGCATGCTACAAAAGAAAGATCATTTTTTGCTATATATTCCATGTGTATTTTTTATATCAAAAAGATGTTAAGTGATATTCTTAGCTAATATTAAGATATCTAAGATGTTTTTAAAAAGAAAAATATATATATTCTTCCAAAGCATTGACGTTATGATTATTTAATTGATTTGCAAAAAAGAGCTCAACTACCATTCGGAACAATGTATAACTTATTGTAAAATGAGTTGGCTGCATTAAAAGAATATATTGACAAGAACTTAGCTAAGAATTTCATATGCCATTCAAAATCTCCAATAAGAGCTCCTATCTTATTTGTAAAGAAAAAAGATGGATTCTTGCAAATGTCCATAAACTATTGAAGACTTAATATGATCACTATTAAGAATAGATATCCCCTCTCTTTGATTTCAGGACTTCTTGACCAATTTAATTAAACAAAGATCTACACATCTTTTGCTATATATTCCATGTGCATTATTATTTTGTCATAAATGAGAGCAGATGACAAGTTCTATCCAATAGCTTTTATTCTAAGAAATATTTGACAATCATAATTAAGTATGAGATCTATGACAAAGAACTATTTGCAATGATAGATTCATTTCAAAAATAGCATCATTATCTAAAAGATGCCTCAAATTTAATTACTATATATATGGATCACAAGAACCTCAAGTGTATCATGTCAACACATGTTTTGAATCATCACCAAGCTTATTGGAACATATTTTTATTGAGATTTGATTTCAAATTTACTTATTGATCCAAAATATAATAAGATTTGTCAAATACCTTTTTAGACGTTTTTATCTTATACCAAAAGAAAAAAAATATATCTTTCAATTAATAAAAAATAATTTTCTTGAAGCTAGAGTATTTTCACCTATGAGCAATAAAATAAACATTAATTGTTGATTCTATCTTTGTTAAATAAGTTCAATCAAGTGTGTCCTCAAATCTCTTATTTATGATATTAAGAATAATTTTTCTAAGTCTCATGATACTTCTAAGTTGAAATTCAAGAATAATCTATTCTATTTTGAAGGATAATTATGTATTTTATAAGGACTTTCGAATAGCCAGACATTTTAGATACAATAAGACTTTAGAGCTAATATTTAGAGATTTTTGGTGGCTTTAAATATAAAAGATAGTCAAAGACTTTTCAAAAGTTGATAATTTTGTGGCAAAATATTTAAAAAATTATTTATTAGAGCTACATGCAACAATGAAGGTGCAGTTAAAGGAAGCTCAAGAATGACAAAAGATCAATACAAATGCCTATTGCAAGTAATGTGAGCTCTCAATTATGCTCCAATTTTTTTTTATTTTTTATTACTATTTTATAATAATTAAATAAATTAGATTGTGATTTATATAAAAATAATTTAATTTTATAGAATTTTGAAGTTTTTAACCATTGATGGTACAAATTCTAGCCTAATTCCTTGAATTGGATTAATTTGGACCAAAGTGATAAGATTTAGAAAATTAGAATAGCAAATTAGTTAGTTTTAATAATTTAGAGGTTGTTATTTATTTCTATAAGAGTTGATTGAAAACCTATGAATTTACTTACAATTATTTCATATGATTTAAAATGAGTTAGAATTATAATTTTTCAAAAGTTTTTAGTGAAGTTTAACAATGGCAGTTTTGAAGTTTTCTCCAAATTCAACAAATTCAAATAGAAA